CTTTGTCATTTTTCCATTATATTTTAGACATATATCCAGTAAAAAAAATGGCATGACACGTGTACATATGAATGAACAAGCAATTCGGTTAGAAGGCAACCTTCTCCGATCAAACCATATCCAAGACCCAATCAACTATCACATTACAAAAATGTTGGACCTAACTCCTAAAAACAAGGGAGAAATATCATAGCAATTTCTTATGGCACCTTGTAATTTCTTCTTGCATCATCCAAGAAAAAGTCTTAATTGTCTAACATAGTGTTTAGCTTTTATTTTGCTTTCTTTCTTTTTTTAATGTCATTTCATGCTTATATTGTTGTTCAACCTCATTCTTCTACAACAGTTTTTCAACACCATATTTAAACTTTTCCTTTTGTTTTCTCCTTTGTTTTTTTCTTCATTTTCATCCAATAAATAAAAGTCACATATTATGTTACCTACAAAGTTATATGATTTAATATTAACATAAAATAGCGTAAATATAACTAAACAAAGTGATAAATATGATAAAAATTGCGTCATATAAAAAAAGTGACATGTTATAAATTTTTTATGTATTTAATAAATAAAAAAATTCAATAAATATTTAAATTTATAAAAGACTTTAAACTGTGTAATATCATATGAAGATGCAGGAAGAAATGTAATATTTAGCAGTTGAAATATTAACCATCGAATTGCAGCAAAACCTCAGCATGAGTTCAGCTTTCAAGTACGAACTGTAGTAAGTGAAGAAGATAGGGTGACCTGACCTCCTAATGATGAGGCAAGGTGTATCAATATGTCAGGCTGAATACATCTTGGGCTTCATTTGGGCCTTATTGGATCAACGAGGGGGTGTCGTCTTCTCTAGTGGTAAGCCTGGACTTCAATATACCTTTTACATAATAATAATAATAATAATTAATATATATATAATCCCAAACCTTTGAAGTTTTATTTACATATATCTACTATTTAAAAGATCAAACTTACGCAAACATGAACATGATTTTTTCCTCTTCATAGAATCTTTTTGTTTTTAATCATATGACGTTGTTGGAGTTTAGGTTATTTTATACCATTTTATTTTTTTTCACATTGAAAGTGCTTAAGATGGTCAGTCTTAATAAAAAAAAGCTGCAATTTTAAAATATTTTAATTAAAATGGAATCTTAAATTGAAGAAAGCAGTATGATGACAGCTCTTGTCCGAAAGGAACTTGATGGTGGAGATTTGGTTTGGAATGTTAGGTTTCTTCGACATACTATTTCAGAGGTAAAAAGCATAATGTGCAGATTGATTTGCAAAAACACGAGTTTAAAATTAGAATAATACTACAGTGATAATAATAATTATTAGTGAGAGTTGTTTAAAATAAAATAATTAAATTTGAGATGGGGTTTCAAAGTTTGTGTTAGTAGTGCAAATCCCAACGGTGACAATGAGGCGTGAAGTCGCCGAAAGGAAGGCTTGTCATGCACTCTTCCATTCCAATCATTCACCACTGTCTCTCTCTGTCTCTCCCTTTTCCAACTTCTTTCTTTTCTTCTGGTTTCTTATATTAACGATATCTTTTATTTTTAAATATAAAAATAATAAATCCAACTTATTTAATTACGCATCAATCATCATATTTACTCTTTTCGCAACTTCTCATTAATCTACTGCCTCTTTGTTCACCTCTTTATTTCGGAATAGTATTTTATTATTTATCCAATACTGAATGCATATTGTTTGCAATTTTATAGTATAAGTATAAATGTACACTAAAGCTTTTATTTTTAAATATATTGTTTATAATTTAAATCGGATAAAAAATTTTAAATTTTTATTTGTAAAGTTTATAATTTATTCTTTTAAAAATCTTAGGATGAAAATAAATATATTAAGGGCTTCATTATTGTATTGTACACGTTACTCATGCATTTCAAAGATTAGGTTTTACTAGTTCCACTACAAACAGACTATTATCAGTCAAGTCATAAGTTGGTTTTTATTGTTTTGGTCACAGGTGAGGTCTCTACAGTTTGATCAGAGGATGACTTCGGGTGTTGCTCCCTCTAACATTTTAAGTGTTTTTACCTTCACACTATTTTTTTATTCTAAAAATACTTTATTTCTCTCAACTATTTTCTTTAAATCTAAAAATATTCTATATTTTCTCATTATTTTATTTTATTCCAAAAATACCCTACACCTCTCCATTATATTCAACAATATTTCTCTTTTTCTCTCCACATTAATGGAACATTCACATTGCTTAAATTTAAATTTGTGATATATTACAAAATTTTATTTATACTTTTCCTTAAATAATTTTGATTCAATCTTATTTCTACTGTTTAATATATTTTTTTTTTCAAATTACTTGATAAATGGTAAAATCTTGTTCTAAATTTCTAGACAAATGTTTATATATATGTGTGTTTTTTTTACATTTAATATCTATAAGTTAATTTATCTCACTACAAGTTAATTTATCATATTTTAGTATGTTATTCTTTAATTTGACATAATCTACATTTTTGAGTCACTGATTCATTCTAACCTCTTAAGGTGAGAACCCACAAATTCATAATTATTATATAAATAATACAATTATTAAGGTTTATAAAGTAAATGATCTATGTTCATATTTTACCGTATTAATTGTTATGTGAAGCATCCTATCGAATTGGATGTAAGAATGTATTTTACAACTATACTATCATCTATTCATGAAAGGGAAAAAAAAAACTGTCTGAAACATAAAAATGGAGAAAATTCATGAAACTCACCTTTTCCGAAATATACACGATTCTGAAAAACAATTATAATAAAAGAAACTAATTAAAAATGTTATTATTATAAATATAAATAATTATTTTTTATAATTATAACATATACGATGATTTTAATTTAAATGTGGTTAAATAAAAATATTAATTTTATAAAAAGGTAATTAAAGTATAAAATTGATAAAGTAATTATTTTAATTTTAAAAAAATAATTATTTAAAAATACAAAATGAAAAATAAATACGTATATCAAAATGAAAAACTTCTATAAAGAGATAGATAATTACTGTATATTTCCACGTTTTTTTATTGTCAAAAGTAAAAAAGTTATTGTTATCAAACTCAAACTAATTATCACTCCCACATTTTACATGTTTTGTTAAATTTACAGTTTTGTTTTCGTACATTTACATTTACATTTGACATGGTTGTTTAAAATTTTGGTCACGGGTTAAAAGAACTGCATTTTGCTGACTTTATTTCTAGTCTTTTACTTTTGCTACTTACCATTAGTTATTTATATTTTCATTTCAGTTTAAATAATCTCTTTAGCATGAAAATAATGTCTTTAAGGGTGAGATATCCCGAAATTCAATTAGCTTTGTTTATGGTAGCTTGGTTAATTTATTGTCAGTTTTACTTAAAAGCTGGACCAAATACTTATAAATAAAAAAAATGACAAATTAAAAATAACTCATTTTAAAGAAAAACATCATAAAAATGAAATTTAAAATAATTTAACTCAACCACGCTTTCAGAACTTTTCTTAAACAGTCATTATTCGATTTATCATAAAATACTTTTTGAAATGCATTTTGTAAGGAATTATTTTATTTCTTACTTTACTGGGTGCATATAATTCAACGTTGGAAAAAGAAAAATACATGTCACATTATGATACATTTAATGATGATACGTATAATATATTAATTAAGTGTATGTATGTTTCGACTTGTGTGATTCTTATTACCTTGAATATTTTTTTAGTCTAAGGGCGTCTTGATTTTATCGTGACTTTTTTCCTTTGTTTTTGCTTCTGTCAATCTGACTTTTCCAGGAAAAATGACAATTAAATAGTATATTTGTGGTATATTTTTTCAATGATTTCCTCGTAATAAATTCCTATAATAACTTAAAATATTATTTTTTAAAAATGAAAAATATAATACATAGAGTTACATGAGAAATTTCATTATCAACCTTAAAACCTTGACACTAAACCTAGTTTAACGATGTCATGTAGTCTATGTAGTGAAGCGACTACGGTGAGATAAAAAAGAAAGCTTTGTCATTGTTGTTCCTACTCAATAGGAGGACTTGTTTTCTTCACACTACAACAGTGCATTCAATGATACCATCTCTTTGTTAACTTCACATTTAAAATTTATAGCTAATTATTAAATAGTTTTCCCTGTTTGGTTCTGAAAAGGAAAATAGGAGAGACGAAAATAGAAACAAATAAATTAAGAAAAGAGAAATACATAAAAATAAATAAAAGTATCAGTTAAACGGTAAAGTATGAATAATTAAAAAATAAATAGTTTGTTAATTGGAGATTTGACACGAGATAGATTATTTGAATCGCATAACACCGATTATAATCATATCACCTTATACCACACAATAAATAAAAAAAACAGTAACTTTTACCTTTTTGATTTCTTAATCTGTTACTCTATTCCAACCATCGAGATCCCTTCCATCACCATGTTTATACAGCAATAAATTGATACTTGTAATTAAAAAATAAAATCTGGTTTATAAATAAGTTGAATAAAAAAAAATTGATATCTTTAAACTTATCTTGAAATGTTTAAGAAATAATTTATTAAATAATGTAATATTAAGCATAAAAGAGTGATAAGATATTGTTTAAAGGAAGAAAAGAAGGATTTGAATGATGTGTGATAAGGGTAGGAGGGGAAGGGAATAATGTGAAAGAAAAGAGAAAATGGCATTGGCATTGGCATGGTGCCAGATGTGAGTAGGTGGGGTCAGGGGGAAGAAAAGAGAGGAGAAAGAGCAGAAAAGAGTGAGAGGGCACAGTGGCCACACCCTCCTACACGACCCAACCCTTTCTTTTAACTAAGAACCAACGACCAACCAAGAATAACCTTCCTCCTTCTTCACCGCCACACAATATCCTCACCCCCTCTCTCGTTTATTATTATTATTATTATTTTTTATTATTATTCTCTTTTATTATAAATTATATATAAACCTATCCTCCCCTCACTCTTCATCTTTTCTTCCAATACCTCCGCCACCCCTTTCCTTCTCTCTCTCTTTCCTTCTCTCTTTCTCATACGCACACACGCCACACCAACGCAACACTCACACCACACTGTCTCCATTTCATGACTTTTATCACCCAAACCCCAAGATGCTGAACGACGACTGGGTGAGAGCGGCCATGACGGACGAAACCGTCGTCGTCGAAGTTCTCCTACGACTCAAGCAAACCGTTTCCACCAAATCTCACCACCACCGCCCCCCTCTCTCCTGGGGGGTCAAACAGCCCCGCTCAAGATCAAGGCTCACCGCTGCCGTCTCTCGCTGCGACGCCGCCGTTTCAACCAGATGCAGTCCCACCACGCCGCTCTCTTGGAGCAGCGGTGCCTCCCCATCCGCCACCGCCGACGGTTACGAAGACTCCGCCCGCCAACACCATGCCGCCAGATCCAAGGTTATCTTTCTTTCTCTCTATTCCTCCCCCTCTCTCTCCGTTTCTTCTGATCTCTCCTGTGTGCTCGGAGTTCCGTTGTTTCACCGAAACACCGTTACGACTGCGCGTGCGCGGGCGCGTAACTTCCTCCGCCTCCGTGGTAGTTATCGGCGGTTCAGATGGCTTAGCGTGCCTCACGAAACATTCTTTTCTTCTGCATGACGTTTTCTTCGGGTCTGACAATTTTGCCCTTAATCTCCTTATTCACAGGCCAAAGGCCAGTGGTGTTTTTTAAGCTTTAACTGTTTTCCTTTTTTTTTTTCTTTTTCCAATCGCGCATCGTTTTCGATTTTCCGCTGACATCAGACGCTGACGGCAAATCTGTCAATTTTTCTGTTTCTATTTTTCTTTAAATCTTATTATAATTATTATCCTCCGCGCACTTGTGTTCGTCACTTGTCGTTACGGAGGATGATTTTTCCGTTCTTATTTTGGTTTTAATTATCTTTGGGGTTCCTTCGGTGTTCGTGATGATATTGTTGTGACGGAAATGTCTGGGGATGTTCGTGGGGGCACTAGGTCAGTACTGGAACAAAGACTCGGCGTTTTGTTCTACNTAAAAAAAAATTGATATCTTTAAACTTATCTTGAAATGTTTAAGAAATAATTTATTAAATAATGTAATATTAAGCATAAAAGAGTGATAAGATATTGTTTAAAGGAAGAAAAGAAGGATTTGAATGATGTGTGATAAGGGTAGGAGGGGAAGGGAATAATGTGAAAGAAAAGAGAAAATGGCATTGGCATTGGCATGGTGCCAGATGTGAGTAGGTGGGGTCAGGGGGAAGAAAAGAGAGGAGAAAGAGCAGAAAAGAGTGAGAGGGCACAGTGGCCACACCCTTCTACACGACCCAACCCTTTCTTTTAACTAAGAACCAACGACCAACCAAGAATAACCTTCCTCCTTCTTCACCGCCACACAATATCCTCACCCCCTCTCTCGTTTATTATTATTATTATTATTTTTTATTATTATTCTCTTTTATTATAAATTATATATAAACCTATCCTCCCCTCACTCTTCATCTTTTCTTCCAATACCTCCGCCACCCCTTTCCTTCTCTCTCTCTTTCCTTCTCTCTTTCTCATACGCACACACGCCACACCAACGCAACACTCACACCACACTGTCTCCATTTCATGACTTTTATCACCCAAACCCCAAGATGCTGAACGACGACTGGGTGAGAGCGGCCATGACGGACGAAACCGTCGTCGTCGAAGTTCTCCTACGACTCAAGCAAACCGTTTCCACCAAATCTCACCACCACCGCCCCCCTCTCTCCTGGGGGGTCAAACAGCCCCGCTCAAGATCAAGGCTCACCGCTGCCGTCTCTCGCTGCGACGCCGCCGTTTCAACCAGATGCAGTCCCACCACGCCGCTCTCTTGGAGCAGCGGTGCCTCCCCATCCGCCACCGCCGACGGTTACGAAGACTCCGCCCGCCAACACCATGCCGCCAGATCCAAGGTTATCTTTCTTTCTCTCTATTCCTCCCCCTCTCTCTCCGTTTCTTCTGATCTCTCCTGTGTGCTCGGAGTTCCGTTGTTTCACCGAAACACCGTTACGACTGCGCGTGCGCGGGCGCGTAACTTCCTCCGCCTCCGTGGTAGTTATCGGCGGTTCAGATGGCTTAGCGTGCCTCACGAAACATTCTTTTCTTCTGCATGACGTTTTCTTCGGGTCTGACAATTTTGCCCTTAATCTCCTTATTCACAGGCCAAAGGCCAGTGGTGTTTTTTAAGCTTTAACTGTTTTCCTTTTTTTTTTCTTTTTCCAATCGCGCATCGTTTTCGATTTTCCGCTGACATCAGACGCTGACGGCAAATCTGTCAATTTTTCTGTTTCTATTTTTCTTTAAATCTTATTATAATTATTATCCTCCGCGCACTTGTGTTCGTCACTTGTCGTTACGGAGGATGATTTTTCCGTTCTTATTTTGGTTTTAATTATCTTTGGGGTTCCTTCGGTGTTCGTGATGATATTGTTGTGACGGAAATGTCTGGGGATGTTCGTGGGGGCACTAGGTCAGTACTGGAACAAAGACTCGGCGTTTTGTTCTAGCCTGTTTTTGTTTGGGGTGCCTCCTGTCATTCTATGTTCTCCATTGATTGACGAAAACGCCCTTCCAGGTGCAACCGATATTCCGCCGGTACCCTTTTTTACTTTTGACGAGGTGAAAAAACAAAATCAATAATTTGGCCACTCACACCCGTTTTCCGGGTGGGCGTAACCGAGACGAGAACACATCCTTTTTAATATTTATTATTACATCTACAAAAGTCGTTAAAAAATAGCAGTGGAAAGCGTGGGTATTTTGGTCAATGTAAATTCGGGGTTGTGGACCCCATGATTTAGATGGGGATGGGTACGGTTCAGAAAAGACCGAACCGAATGTGGACTGTGGAAGGTTTTTGCTTGGCTATGTCATGGATAGATGACGGGCCTGCGATTCGTTGAAGTTAGTGTCATGAGTTCTGTAAGCTCCTGAGTTAGCTGCATCGCTTCTGCTTCTGCCGGTGGCCCCTGAGCTGAAGTGGAAAATTCACTTTCACCCGTGTCTTTATTACAAGTACCGCTTGTATTTATTTATATAATAATTAAAATAATGGTAATTAATTATCCTTTAGGCGTTGATAATGGAGAATTTAGGTATATTATTAGGAATGTGGGATAGAGAGGGAGAGAGACGTTGGTGTGGATGCGAAGGGTTTCTCGTGTTGGGGGGAGTGTGTTGAAATGAGATGTGATAGAGAGGGAGAACACCGCGACACAGTGCCATTATGAGGTGGATGGGGTTTCAGCATCACGGGGGTGATGGTAGTTAAAGTTGGTGTCTTAAATGGGAAATTAAAATCCTATACATTAGGATTCGGTTGGGTGGGAAATGGGAAGACACGCAGCATTTCCGCCCCCTTGGCCCACTCCACTCCAGGGCGTGCACCATGCCCTGCACCCCTTATTACCCTTTGCAAAAACAAAATTACAACTTAATTTCAATTCATGTCGCCTGCGTGCCTACGCTTATTTGTCTCAGAATCAGTTTTTGTGCGATTATAATAAATTAAATAAATCATGGCAAGTTGGGCTTTGATCACCAACAATCTTGAATGGGCTATATGGGTGGGCCCCAGGTTAAATGGCCTGAGACGTGTCCCATTGCACGAACAGATGGCAGCGATGATTGATGGAGCCGAGCGACTTCTTCATTTAAATAATTTCATATAAATTATTAATATTTCTTATCATAAATACTAAAGATCTAGCTCCCTCTCAGGCGACGACGACCTTTCTAAGCTAATACGTCTTCATTTCAGCTTGATCCAACGTCAATGTCTTCTCGATCATCTCATTCTACCCTTTTCTCTGCCTCTTATGCTGAGATACTCGGTCTGATTGAAGATACTTGAATCTTTTATTTTTATGTTTACATTCTGTTGTTGCTTATCCATATGTCTTTGCTACAGATGAGTGTTTCTGTTTTCCTTTAAACCAAGAGCTCCCTTTTCCCCCTTATTTTCTGCCATGATTTTATCGAATGTTATTCATGTCACTATTTTTCTAATCCTTCGTGATCTCGCCAATTTTCAGGCCACTGCCACAAGTGGATACACTGGCAACTCAGCTTCAACCAAGAGGTGCAGAAGAAAAAAGGTAAGATTGAACTTTTTTATCTTTGTAATTGCTGCCTTTATTCTCTTTCTCCGAAAGATTTCAAATAGCGTTTATTCGTGGTAAATGATTTCTGTGTTGAGAAGCCGTTGGCATGGCCTTTCTTTAGCTCTTCATGTACTTTATACGAATATGCTTATCTCTTTTTTTTACTCGTTTTTCAGACCTTTGCTGAACTAAAGGAAGAGGAAAGCTCCCTGCTAAAGGAAAGGATATATTTGAAAAAGGTATCTCCCTGGACTTCTCACATATTTTCAAGAACTATAAATTTATTTTAGTTTGGCACACATTAACTTGGGACTAAATGATTCTTGAATATTGACATCACTCTTGCTTTGCAGGAAATTGCAACGATAAATGCAAATTTTGAGGCAGAGAGAGCTAAAAATGAGAGTTTGAAGAGGATGAAGGTGTGTTCAAATGCCCTCTCTGCTTTTTAACGTTTATAGTGAATCGACCTTACATTGGATTAAAGCCTAACCTTACATTTTTTGAATTTTTAGCTCGATATCGGATCAAAATCTCAGAAGAATCCAAGTTCAACGTCTGTTGAACCACAGTGTACGGTTGCTGGTCAACCCCATCAGAGAATAGTGTCTCCGGTGGCCCTCATACGTACCACTCAAGACGATACTCGTTCACAAGCATCAGAATCGAGGCCAAACGAGATAGAATCAACCGGGGAAAGGTTTTTCTTGATACCGGATCTAAATATGACGCCATCGGATGATGTTTCTTGCACTGACGCTCTATGTTGAATGAGTTGAGACCTTTTTTTGCTTTCATAGTTCAGAGCGCATAACTCTTGAAAACAGTTGCGCTGTTTGTGTTTGGGGAAACAAACCTGAAAAAATGTACAGGCCATCCAATAGAAAACCAGTGGACAACATGATGCGCCAGAGACGTTTCTCGGTGTGACTACCAGTTCTTATGAATTTGGTAGTCCTCTCTATGGGAAAATTTTCTTTGGTACTCGTAGGCAATTAGGCTGTAGAGTAGAGATATGCTAAGGTTGCAGGTTCCGCCTATTCCGAAATTTCTTATAAAGCTTTCGGAATTCTTCAATCTTGTAAGATGTACCATTCTTTTGTAGGTTAAATAACTTGGATTCCCCCTTTAGAAGGTATCTAAAATTAATCCACAATTCTATATTTTTATTCATCAGTTCTATTGGTTGCTCCTTCATTTCTTTTATAAAAATTCATGTGCCACCTCTTGGATATAGTGTAGGATGTTTCTTTTTTATAATGTGCTAGTGAAATTCATGCCTCTCCTGGAATTTGAAGGGACAGAGATAATAGATCGGTTCACTTGATGTGGTTTTTCTGTAGGATTATTCGTCACTGCCATGGTGTGCTTATCTCACTGGTGGCTGATGAACACAAGATCCTGGCGTCGTGTATTATTATTCTATTTGATAAACGACAAGCCCAAACTCTTTTACTTTATTAAAGATCTAACCTCGTAAATTTCAGCACAGTGCAATAGAGTACTTTTACTAGTGGTCCCTTACTTTTACTCTGTATACAGTACAGGGAACTGTTAACCATGGTTGTTTCTGAGGTTAGATCTTTTACGTACTTTTAACCACGCTTAAGTTCATAATCTCCCTATGTTTTTTTATTTTAATTGGGCAATGAAATAAATAGGAAAGGATTACGGGCTCTGCTTGTTAATCTTTTTTTTTTTTTATCTTTTCAATTTTTAGTGAAAAATAGAAAATGTTACCGAGAACATGTTTTTTCATCTTTCGAGATTACTGTGAAGAAAAAAGTATGTCCAAAACAATAAAACCAAGTCGTTTTCGACGTTGAGTGTAAATTCGAAATTTGAATTGATTGAAACTGAAGGCACATCTAGTTTCAATTACAAACTTTGTGAGATCAATCATTGCATAACTATTTTCATTATGATTTTAGTAGCGATTGTAATATCCATCAAGTTTAGTGATATATATTTTAAAAATTGGAGGCCCACAATGTATCTTTTTTAGAAATATCATCAAGTTTAGTGGCATTATCACTATCTTTTACCAGTGCCATGGCATGACGTGGTATATCAAAAGTTTAGAATGCGATACATACGGCGTATAATTTGTAATCTGGTATTAACAATTTTAACCCTGCAACCTATAAACAATATTTTAGATATTTGCATTTTAGTTCAAGTATAAAAGTAAGCAATTAGGGTTTATTTGTAAATTATTTTGAGATTTGAAAAGCTAAAGTTCTCCCTCGGGGTTTTCTTCGGTGGTTGTGACTGTATAAAATGCAAGACATTATGAAATTTAATTTTTCTGATAGAAGACAAGTTTTCTAATTTATTAGTATTCTGTTTATTTTTGCTTGATGGTCTTGGTAAAGTAGTAGTGTTTATACTGACTAAAGATGTTCATCATAATCATTTCCTAGAATTAGAATATTATAATGTAACGATGTTATTCTTTTCTTTCGTTAAGCTTTGGAAGTGCAGTAAAAGCGGCTTACCCAAGTCGGTCTGGCACATTAATTCAGTTTACTTATTATTGAATTAAAAAATTCAAACCAATACTGATTTAATGTCACACAGATGGTCTCGCTTCACTTAATTATATATATTTAATTAATTTTTAATTCATTCTTCTCCAGATCAATATTCTAAAGTGAATTAATTTTTAAAATTTAAAAAGTGTTGAAACAGTCCCATATTTATCATAAGGAGTAAAACTCAATATTGTCCTTTGTGAATTGGTAAATAAAATGTAAGAGCATTACCATTTTGAAGAATTTGGTAGAAGGAAGGAAATAAAAAGTATGTGAGCATAAATGAGTTAAAAGAAAGGGTGAGAAAGGGGTAAAGCAGGTGGTGTTAAAACAGACTTAAGAACACACAGGAATTGTTTTTGCCGTTTTCAACAACCTCGTTCGTTACATAATTTTTATGGGTCCCCACCAACTACAAAGCCACAAAAGCTACCGCCAAATTCAGAAAGGATCCATAACATGGTACTTACCTCCAAGCAACTTCCAGGAAAGAAGGATTTAAACCTCTACTTTTATATAACAAATAAAAACAACACTTTTGGCTCATCTTCTTGCATAAACATCAAAATCCAAAATCTTGGAAGCTGCTTCTATTCTTTGCTGCTATGGACAACCCTCAAATATTTCATCTTTTAAGGACATCTTTGAATTAATTTCTTTTAAAAATATTTCGAAATAAATTAGAATTATTTTTTCTTCTAATAACAGTATCATTACACTTAATTGAATCAAACTAGTTATATTTGCTTATATTTAAAATTAGAGATTAAGAAGTTGATGTGGTGTTTGGTTGGTTAACTCTGATGTTTTCAACCAGTGGGTTTTTGAGAAAAAAATTGTTGGTGAGTTTTGGTGTTATCTCTTCTTCTTTCTCCCATTTAAAGAAATTGAGTTTGCCTAAGACGCTTCCATTTCTGAAGTTCAAGACAAGCTTTATGTAAAACTCAATCAACCAAAAATATCCAATTTATAACAAATTTTAAATTTAATCAAGTCTTAAATTTAAAGTTCGGTTATTTTGATTTGATTTAATCCTTAAAAAATGCAAAACATTACTTTATGAACTCTGATATTATTGGACTGTCATGGTTACATGGACTTTGAATTTGTGATGGGCAACAACATTGCCCAAATCATAAAAGTAATGGAGCATCATACTCAAATTAATATTATTCATAATATGTTTTAGATAGTAGTGTTTTATGGGAATATATTATATTTTTTATATTTATTAATATAATTGAGCGTGTTAAACCATATGAATTAGATAGCAATTTGCTCCTTCAAATTCATATGTTTCGATTAACTTGACCTTAAAAAAAACAAAAAAAAAAACATAAATCACTTTATAATGGACTAAAATCGTTTCCCGAAATGGGCTACAGTCCAGTTGATAGATTGCACCAAATAACGTAAGCTTTAAGGATGATTCTCCTCAACCTCCATCTTTTTTTCTTTTCTGCACTCCCATAAAAGTGATACTCTCCAAATTATCCTTCATTAAAAATATAACAAAAATCTCTACATGTCCTTATTTTTAATATTTTTATTTAATTGAATGTTCCAAAAAATATTTCTAGAAATTAAAACTATGTTCCGAAATACTCAATTCAAAATATAAAAAAGAAATTTTGAGAAGGTATTTTCAGATTCAAAGTTACTTTTCCAAACACTTGTTCTAGAAACTTTTTTATACTATAAACAACTCGATTTAGAATATAAACAAATTTCCAAAACGAAAATTCCAGAAGTCACTTTCCTATATGGAAATACATTCTAGATTTAAAATGACTTTCAAAACACCTATTTTGAAAACTTTTGTTATATTTCGAAATTATTTCTGAGTCAATGTATTTCGAATCAACTTCTAGAACAATCATTTCATAACATAAAAGTTATTTTTAGATTTAGAATTATCTTTGGAACATTCATTTCTCAAGAGTATATACATAATTTTTTTGTTGGATGTGTATCACGTTCATGTTATTACCAAATTTTTAACTGATTTTCAAACGGTACGAATGAGAATATAATCAACAAAAAGGCCACTCAAGATGAAGAAAGGTGAGGGTTATGTGCTACTATATGGAAGACACGAGAAAATGGTGATTTGGAGATGGAAGAAAAAAAAACTAAGAATACTTAGGATTTTTAATATTATTTAATCAAAGGTGTGAATGGAGATTAAAATTTATTAAGGTGCAAGAAAACAAAATGGAGTACAAGAAGTAAGCATTAATTATTTATTGACCTAACAAAGAGAAGACTTTTTTTCCGCATCCCCAATATTGCTCTGTTCACCCCTCTAATTTTCAAAACAGCCTTTATACCCTTCATAAAAGTGACTTTTAGATTTCTTAATTTAAAATTTTTTCAGAACCAACTTTCTAAATTTTCTGGAATATAAATTTTTGAAATAAGATTTGTTGAACCAGATTTTTGGAAGAGGGATTTTGGTACTGTGAGAAAAAAAATATTATAATATTTTATTATTAGTATGAAGGTGTATTTAGTAATGGTGGGGTGTAGGAAATAAAATCAGAGGAATCAATAGTCAACAAAGTATATTACAATGTAGAAGCCCATCTCAAGAAAAGAAAATTGTTCTATGTAGTTTAAATTAAGTATATACTAAATTTCAAAGTCTGAATCATCATTACTTCAAAGAAACCTGTTTATGATTACTGGCAATTTATTGGAAAAGCATCAGGCTCTTTTAAATCATATCGAATTTTTCTTCCCATCTTAATGAGTGATATGCCAATAAATCATCTAACCCTACATTTATGCACATCTACCTTTCTATATCAATATATAAAAAAATAATAAAATGGAGTAATTATTTTTAAAATAAAATATTGTTGATACCCCAAGTAATCTCGATTTATTTTAATCACTCTTTATTCTTACTTACGCCAAGCTATACTCAATATCAGTTCCTTATATATTGGACTCTATTTTCATCACTTGAATGAAACTCTTTTTTGTAATAATAACTAATACAATTATGTTATGTGCCGACATAAATCATTAAAAATATATAATTCTCCTAGATTCTTCTAACCTTCTCATCATTATGCTCGGTCGTTTATGAAGACAATTAATTGATTTCTTATTGGGGCCAAACTTCTTTAAAATTAACCTATTTTAAGGGGTTTAGTCCAACAATAATTCAATAGATGAATTTACTAAATATTTTTATCCAATTCACTAATTTTCAATCTTCACTGGCCATTTACACTATTGATTTGTATATTGTTTTGATGGGCTGGATTAGTGGACATGGGCCTTGTTTGGTTGGTAATGATGATGATGATGTTGTTGTTTTAATGAGATGTGATATTAAAATAAGGAGAGGGAGGGTGATGGTGGGGCAAATGGGAGTATAGAAAATGAGTTAAATTTTATTTGTAGAATGGTTGGGAGAAAGGAAACAAGGGCATGTAACTAAAATGGAAGAAAGAAAGTGACCCAAAAGAATATAGAAAATATGGTACTTTGACACACTTTTGAAAGTGATTGCATGTCCAATTCACCCTACAAATGCATACTTACCAATTAGTATACCACAAAAAAACCTTAAGTATAACTGTTTCCTCTCAACCATCCCTTTTCCTCCTATTCTAGTTCCTTATACAA